AATAGATGGAGTTATTTTTGAAATTACCCTAGAGGGGGGTGAATATGGTAATATGCTAATCTAATCCGATTTAATGCTAATTTAAAACTTATTAATAAATATCCTAGCGAGTATGATATACGATAACTTATATGAGCAAGGATATTAAACTAAGGGCAAATAAATATGAGACAATATAAACACGAAATGAACAATCCAAACACAAGAAAATGATCACGGAGTTCGGTCCTTCCGACCTACGTCTCCGTTCCCCGCTCCTGGGGAGAATCCACTATCACGATGGGTTTTCAACGTTCACCCAAAATGTTTACACCTCGCAATCAGTTTTCTAGCTCATCGAAAAATTTTACAATCTCACACACTTGTAACTACACAATACACCTTCTAGTGTTGGCCTAGCCCGTGTCATCTTTCTCAAGTGCTCGGATTTACTACCTCTTCCTGAGCTTTACTACCGACACAACTCCTCTTGGAACTGACCCCGTCTCTCACCACACACTTCTCTCAGTGTCCTTGTGTATTACAATGTGATCTCACAATTAAGCTCAATAACAAATGTTTGTTCTTTACAATAGATGAGAACACAAATGTAAACTCACCCAATCACACTTACAACCCAAATTACACAATGTGTGAAAATAACTTAAAATCAAGTAGTTGTATGTGAAAGATAACAAGTAATATAAACTTAATTGAAATCTAACTTATAAAATAATAAACAAGACTTATAAATAGCTAGAGATTGAGTTTAAGAAATCTTCTTTGAAAAACAAGAGTGAGAGAGATGAGGTTGAAGCCCAAATAAGAATGAATAATCTCCTCTTCCTCTTGTGAAAATAACTTCACAAATCAAACTTGAAAACCAAACTTAAACACCCTTAAAACATTTGTAAACTTATTTAAAACTTTTTTTTTAATTTCCCTCAGAAGTTAGAGGGTATGTGGTATATATAAGATTATAGAACAAGCTCCAAAACCAAGAGAAAACCAAGGAAAAAGACAAAAAAAACAGAAACCTAAAAATCTAAAAAAACTAGTCGTTACAGTGTTATAAGTCAACTTGTTACAGTGTATAAGTTAACTTATAAACTAGCCGTTATAGGCTAAAAAATATTTGCTAAGTCGACTTATACTGTAGCAAGTCGACAATAAGTCGACCTACACAATTCACAACAAATTCTAAAAATTTGCGTATCTGATTTTGTAAAATCAATTATAAATAATAAATCAACTCCAAAAATCATGAAAAATTGAGGAAGTTTCTATATGTAGAAAAACTTGTTATAGAAATAATTTCTAAAATATCACTTCCCAAGCAAGAGAAATAATTGTTTTAAAATAGATATTCTAGATTCTAAAAACTGCTGAAACACCTGATTTTGTAAAATCAATTTGACATAGTAAATCAACTCCAAAAACGATAAAATTTTAGGAAATGTTTGTAAACATGCAATAGAACATGTTAAAAAAATAATTTCTCAAATTTAATTTCCTATTTGTGAAATATAATTTATTTTGTAAACTATTCAAGAATACAAAATCGTCAAAACTTGATTTCAATAAAATCATATCAAGCACATATAAACATGACAATATATTTATATACGCATATTCTTTTCATGTTTATGTGGATAAACAAATTGTTTTTCAAAAACAAAAATGTTAAATATGAAACATGTATATATGTAAACAAGTATATATATTTCATATTTATATAGGCTTGAAAACTATAAAACCAAAAACGTGTATGTGTGTATATGATTAAGCTTAAAGGATCAACACACAAAGCATAAGTCTAAAACATTATACCCAAGCTATGAGATCTTCAATAAGCTCGTCTTAGTTGCGGATGAAGCTTGATCTTGAATTTTATTTTGAATTACAAATTGCTTCATTCCGATATTCCGCCAACCTCTATTGAATGTCATCGTTAAGGCACAATCCATCCAACCTCCAACATGAATCTTTGTTTAGGATACCTAACATGCACATGTAAACACTCGACAACCATGTTAGGAATTATTTGTTAAATCATCAAAACAAGATTAGAGATATAGGCTCATTAACATGAGACCTAACAATTTTGGGGGCTAGAAGCAATTTTCCCTTAATTTTATAAGGCATTGTTTGTCATGAATTCACTGTTTTCTTCGGAAGAGAAAGGATCTCCACCGTTTTTGACAGCCAAAAGATAGAGCTATAAAAGCATCTTTTGCACTCTCAGTTAATTCTAGCACACAATAAACATCTTCACATTCTCAGTTTCTAGCTTTCAACATGTCAAATCCTTCCTTCCCTTTTGACGAGAATTATTCGGATGACAACTTCCCTCTCTATAAATTAGTTGATGACCGGTCTGCGAATTTTAACGGATTCTTCTCATCAGACAATTTCGGAGGAGGACTTGACGGTCTCTGGTCTGGCAACAACTTCCAACCCGAGAGTCCCAACGTGGACGTAGCCTCCTTTCCGGCGTCCAATGACCTTCAGTCCTTATCCGAGTTCACGGCGTTCGATGACGCACACTTCAATGCAGTGTCCACAGTTATCGAGTCTCTTCAGATACCGGCAGTTACTGCCACTGAGGATCCTGAGAGATCATCGGTGCCTGCAACCTCGCTTCACCGGTCAAAAGAGAAATCTCGACAGTTGGATACAGAAGGTACAGATGATAAACAAGCAACAATAGGCGCAACTGTGGAAACAGGCAACGCGTTGTCTACCGAAGAAGTTGTGAGAATCGCGGCAGCCAATTTCATTCAACTGTCTGCTCTTGTATCAGGAGACCCTCGCAAGCTTGGGCTTCCGTTTGGGTTATCGTACTCAAACCTTACTAGTGATGAGATCAAGAACGTCGATCTTGTCTGCCTTCTCATGACCGCAGCAGATAAATTGAGCAAGCAACAGTTTGACAGGGCAGAAGATTTAGTGAGACGATGTCACGTGACGTCATCCCGTACAGGGAATCCAGTGCAGAGAGTCGTCCACTGCTTCGCTGATGCCCTCCAGGAGAGAATCGATCGAGAAACCGGGAAAATACCCTCGAAAGGTTCGAAAGGAGCGGAGATCACGACGGGTGAAGATGTGATGAAGGCGATTCTGACTAACCACTCGGTGCATCTGATTGTCAATAGCACGTTGCCGTTCACTCAGGTCTCACAATTCACGGCAGTCCAAGCCGTCTTAGACAGCATGTCCACAGCGAAGAAGATCCACTTGATTGATCTCTCGATCAAGCATGGGCTCCAGTGGGCAATCTTGATGCAAGCACTAGCCACGAGGGAAACATGTCCGATCGATTCTTTAAAAATAACCGCGGTAGGAGCTTTGGATGAGGTGGTCACGATCATCGGCAAGAGGCTTTCAAGCTTTGCTGAAAGCTTAAACCTGCCATTCGAATTCAGGACGGTGATTGTTGCAGACCTGAAGGACCTGACAGTGGATATGTTTGATCTCGAGGGAGGGGAGGAGCTAGGAATCTGGTCCGATTTGGTGATGAACAGCATGCTTGTGAACCCCGAGGGGCTCGAGAAACTAATGAGTGTTATCTGCAAGCTCAATCCACGCGTAATGGCGGTCCTAGACGTCGAGGCCGGGCTCAACTCGCGCTCATTCATCAACCGTTTCACTGAAGCCTTATTCTACTTCAGCGCTTTCTTCGACTGCCTCGACGACTTAATGGAGCCAAGTGACAGGAGCAGGATGATGATCGAGGGAGACTTCTTTTCGCAAGGAATCAAGTGCATCCTTGCTGCTGAAGGAAGCCAGAGAGTTATTCGGCAAGTTGGGATAAGGGTATGGAGATCATTCTTTGCGAGGTTTGGGCTCATAGAGACTGAGTTGAGTGAGTCCTCGTTGTACCAAGCGCGCCTTATTCTAAAGAAATTTGTCAAAGATGATTCATGTACTGTACAGAGAAATGGAAATGCCTTGCTGACCTTGTGGAAAGGTACACCACTGCACTTTGTTTCAGCATGGAAATTTCGGCATTAGCCATTAGGGACAGTGTATGATTGCCTAAATTGAATAATACATTTTCTATGGATTAGGTCCTTGCTTGATATTTTACATGTTCATTCTTTTAGTTAAAGTCTCTCTAACCATTAATTATGTCATAACTTTGAAGTTGTGTTGATGATCGATGTTTATATTTTTATATTCTGACATGCTTCTGCAGACCGAATACGTTTTTTATAGGCCAAAATCTAGACTCACGCAGTGGTGTTAATTTTTTTAAAATTTCACTTTAAACTAATATTAGGTTTGCAGGAGTGACAAAAATCCCTTTAAGATTTGAAGTTTGTTAATATTAGGGTTGGGCATGGCCCGGGTCGACCCGTGGAGTGACCTGGCCGAACTTACTATGGGTCACCACCCGGCCCTACGGGCCAGATATACGCGGGTCACGGGTCGGGCTGGGTCCAACTCTAGAGCCAGGACTAGAGAAATAGGTTCGACCCACCTTGATCCGCCCACCATCGGCCCGGCCCGACCCAGCCTGGTCCAACCGGGAATTTTAATTATTAGTTTTTTATTTTTTTGGCAAAAAAATAAATGATAAGGCTATAAGCATGCTCGTCGCAGGGTTGCAAGTCAGCAATTGGCCAGCCGTAGCCTACCAGCACCAGGCCAATAACAACCAATAACCGTCCTACTGCTAGCATGCTAGTTAATTGTTGGCCTGCTGGCAGCAGGCTAGACTGGGCGATAGTCTGGCTTGTTGGCCGCAGACCAGAGTGGGACTTTTAGTCTCTAAAGAGAGCGTCTCTCTCTTTTTTCCTAAAAAGAGAGAGAACAACGAATAAATTGTTTAAATTTGACAAATATAACTTGGAGAAATTCATCTCATTGAACATTAATGGTTAACCTTTTTTTTCTTCTTTTTTCCTCTTGTATTTGTAATTTAAATTTAAACTAAAGAAAAGTTATTAACTTCGTAGACATTAGGGCTTCCTTCAAAGTCCGAACCACATGTATCTTTGTATTTGTGATGTTTTTCTATATAATGTTTATCTTTTTACAATGTGTGTGTGTATATATCATTTTAAATAAAGAGTAAAATAGGAAACAAATTTTAAATATAATTTAATATATACTAATACAAAATTAATATAGTTTAGAAATTAAAAATAAAACAATTTAAAAAAAAGTTAAAAGACACGGCAACCCACGACCCATGGATTGGTGGGCCAAACCCAATCTGGCCCGCCTATGACGGGTCGTGGTCCGGGTGGGGTCCAATCTCAAACCCGTGATTAGAGAAATATGTCCGACCTACTTCGACCCGGGCACTTGAACCCGACGGCTGGGTCACGGGCATGACCCGGCCCTCGCCCATCCCTACCTAATATAGCTTGGATGTAAAATTTAGGCTAAATACCCATATTGGTATTTTAATTCCACCCCATTTACCAAGAAGATATTTTAATTAGGCAAACCTACTTTAAGGCATTTTAATTGATTCAACTTACCAACAAGGCCCTTTTTCTCATCGGCGACTAGTTTTCCGGCGAGAGCTCATCACATGTGTGGCACATGATGACTTAAATTGTTTTTTAGCTGATGATGTGGCACGAATTTTTTGACGTGGATAAAACAGTTGGGCGAATCTGTCCTATTTTGGGTGAATTGGGATTTTTAGAGGGTTAATTCCCGCCTTTAAACACTGCCACGTCAGAAAATCCATACCACATCAGCAGCTAAAAAACAGTTTAAGTCGTCACATGCCAAGCACGTGACGAGCTCTCGCCGAAAAACTGGTCACCGACAAGAAAAAGAGCCTTGTTGGTAAGTTGAATCAATTAAAGTGCCTTAAAGCAGGTTTGCCTAAGTAAAATACCTTCTTGATAAATGGGATAGAATTAAAATACTAATATGGGTATTTAGCCGTAAAATTTATATGGATACCATTGAAGATGGACTCTGATTAATTCATTAAAGCCCAGAACTTTGACAAACCATGATCGCCCAATTATGGCCCCCGAAAGCCTGTCGCCACGTGCGCAGCAAAACCCCCCCTACTTCAAAATTTGAAATTTGAGCATCAGATCTCGATCGCTCTCACTCCCTCCTACTCCACTCAAGCACTCTCCCGAAAAAAGAAAAAAAAAAAAAATCCGAAGCTCATCGCGTCAATCATCAAACCCTACCCTTTCCCCTTAAAATATTCAAAACAATGTCAAAATCTTAGGTTAATTACTCAATCTGGGGTTTCTCTATCTCAATATCCACCATGTCCTCATCAAGAAGATCAAGCTCCAGGCCTAAACCCTTGGAATCTAACGAGAATGAGCTCCGAAACCCTGGTGACCCAATCCCGTTCCCAACACCCAGATCCCCTCTCAGCTCCATCCATGATCCTTCCCAGATCTCAGCCAATGGTTTACAGATCGATCCTTTTTCTGTCAAGGGAGCTGGATTGACTCCCAAATCGGTTCAAATTGCAGCGGCGAGGTGTGGTTCAAGGGTTTTGGGGAGCACGAAAGAGAGGGGGTGCTTATCTAGGGTTTTGAAAGGGGCTCAGGATGGCAAGTGTTTGGATGTAGCTGAGGTTCTTAGTTTGGAGCTGAATGAGGATCCGGTGTTCTGGAAGGATCACAATGTGCAGGTTAGTTCATTGTTTTAGAAAGATTTGATTTAAATTACTCTTAAATATTTGATATTTTTTATGCTTACAATTTAAAGCTTTAAATTTTTTAATGAAATTCCTAGATACGTTAATTGTAACTGCAATGGAATTTAATTTGATTGCTAAAAGTTAATTATGGTTAGATACATTGTCTATATGGCATTTGGCGACTGAAAGTACTAAGCATGGAACATTATTGAACTGAATGATCAACTTCGGTAAAAAGTAAAGTTAGCTCTTGTTTAAGATTTTAACTTGTACATTAGTCAATCAAATCCACCAGTGAAATATCAAGAAAATATCGAGCATTAATTTTTTTAATGGATGGCTTGTTCAAGCCACTGCTGTCAGGAAGGTTCTGAAGGTTCTACAAGTTATGTCGTTTTAATCTTAGTTGTACTTGGTAGTTTCAAACCTAAAGTTGGGGGAGTAAGCATCCCCTTAGAGCGCCCCGCACGGTGCGGGGCATTCTGAACCTAGCAATGTGGTGGGTAGGTGGCATTGTAGTAATTTTATAGACTTATGAGTGTTTGAGATGAGCCCCTACAATGGGGTGTTCTGATAGGAAGTGTGGTGAAGTTGGGGTGTCATCACTTCATTTGATTTTCAGTCAATAATTGTAACCAATTTGTAGGATTCATCAGCCTTCTTCTATTCCCATTTCTTAACAGATTGCACATATATAGGTTTTGATAAGGATACGTCCAATAAGTAACATGGAGAGTGCTATGCAAGGGCACAAGAGATGCTTGATTCAGGAGAACTCACAAACCTTGACATGGACAGGGCATCCGGAAACAAGGTTTACTTTTGATCATGTTGCTTCTGAGACGATTTCCCAGGCAAGGCTTTAAGGATACATTCTGCTAGTGTGTCAGGTTTGAGAGAGTGAAGCAACTCTTATCCCTCTTTTTTAGCAGGAGAAACTGTTCAGAGCTGTTGGTTTGCCAATGGTGGACAATTGCATGTCAGGATATAATAGTTGTATGTTTGCATATGGTCAGGTAGGTTGTTCACTTTGATAAGGCAATTGGTTATGAAGAACCATTATTGAATGCTAAGCACAATTTGACATCTCTTTTGCAGACCGGTAGTGGAAAGACATACACCATGATGGGAGAGATTCAAGAGATAGATAATCACCTTAGTGATGATCGTGGGATGACTCCCCGTATATTTGAATTTCTTTTTACAAGAATAAGAGAGGTAAAGGTACTTCTGTGAAGGATACTTCTACAATTCAATTGTTCTTCTTACAGTTGTGACTTTGTTCCTATAAAGGAAGAGGAGCGGCAAAGGGAGGAGCAACTCAAATACAGTTGCAAGTGTTCATTTCTCGAGATTTATAATGAGCAGATTACAGATCTCCTCGAGCCATCATCAACTAATTTACAGGTAGTTTTCTGGTGATACTCTATATGTAACCATATGATTCTACAAGCTAAAAACTTTTCTTGTCATAGCTGAGAGAAGACATCAAAAAAGGTATCTGTGTTGAAAACTTAAAGGAATGTGAAGTTTCATCCATGAAGGATGTTATGGAGCTTCTATTACAGGTGATAGATTGTGACTAATTATTTTAAATCACTTCATAACACCTAATACTAAATAGTAATTTGTGACTTTTGTTTTGTGTCCACAGGGAGCTGCAAATAGAAAGATGGCAGCTACTCACATGAACAGTGAAAGCAGTCGTTCCCACAGTGTCTTTACCTGTACTATTGAAAGTCGATGGGAGAGAGATTCCATGACGCACTTTCGATTTGGAAGGTTGAATTTAGTGGATCTTGCTGGTTCAGAGAGGTGAAAAAATTTAGAAATAAATATTATTTTACTTTAAGCTCCCTTATCTTTTATAGTAATTTGCTGAAGCTCTCCTCCGAATTAGGCAGAAAAGTTCTGGTGCAGAAGGTGAGAGACTAAAAGAAGCGGCCAACATCAACAGATCCTTGTCAACTCTTGGGTAACTATATCATGAAAGATATTTTTGTTTCAATCAAGGTTACGGAATGCGTTAGGCAGCCTAGGTGTTGAACCCGACGCCTAGAGCCTAGGCGCTGGACATGACGCCTAGAGCCTAGGCGCCTAGGCCAAAGTCTGAGGGGGGGCCTAGACATTTTCCTATTTTTTTAGTTTTAAATTATAATTTTTGATAGTCAATGCCAATTTTATGGAAAGCTTAGGCACTGAACTGTCACCTAGATAGATTTTTTAAGTGGTAGTGGAAGAGGTTTTGCTGAACGTCGGGGAGAGGCAGAGGAGGTATTCATAGTTGGAGGAGGTTGGAGGACGTAGAGAATACAATGAAGGAAATCACGATAAATGCCTAAAAGGTGCAGTCAATGTAGGCAAACCACCTAGGCGCTCCCAAAACCTAGGTGGGCGGCCTAGCCGCCTAGGTACCGCTTAGGAGCTAGGCGCTAGGTAAGTAGCTAAAGTGCCACCTAGGCCTAGGCGTACGCTTAGGCGGGGTAGGCGGGGGCTTTTTAAAACATTGGTTTCAATGATCATCCACATGTGTCTACTCAATCCTAGGTCAGGATTGGTTGTATTCACGTATTCGCGTCATCATTACTCATTAGTTATTGACTTAAAAGTTCTGCCTATGGAATGAAGCATGATTCTTTATATCTTCTCCTCAATGTATTCCTCTTTTACTTTGTTCTAAAACAAAAACTTAGGGAGCTTAGCTCAGGATACCAAAGCACCTTTCTATTTGCTTAAGTGAAAAATTTTACTGTTCAGTAGGTTGAGCAGGTTGCAACAGTAACTGATAAGTTGAAGAGTTTCAGTCTTTTAAAACTTGTTAACTTTTAATCTTATAATATTACGGTTTTTGTTATTTATGCATTCTATCTAATAGTGCTTTGTACTTCCAGTTTGGTAATCATGACACTAGTGGATATAACCAATGGAAAAAACCGCCATGTTCCATACAGAGATTCCCGGCTCACCTTTCTCCTTCAGGTGCAGCTTCAAATTATCAGACAATACTAGAATATTTCCTTTTATTTTGCTAGCTACAAGTATTATAGCCCATTCCTTCATATGATAATTTTCGCAAACTGCAGGATTCTCTAGGTGGAAATTCTAAGACGACAATTATAGCAAATGTTAGCCCATCTATATGGTGCTTGTCCCATCCCATGCTTGTTTTTGCCAGCAGAACCAGTTTTCTGTTATTTAACTGATCAACTATTCATTGTAACCATGCAGCTCCACAAGTGAAACATTAAGCACATTGAAGTTCGCTCAGCGTGCCAAACTGATCCAGAATAATGTACATAGCGTCTTGCTGTGCCATTCACATATTCTACTTTTGATATCTAGATTGATTAGTTGAAAAAAAAAACACACACACATACTGTTCTTTTTCTTTCTTTTATATCTTTTAGTTTTTTTTGATAGGCGAAAGTGAATGAAGATGCTTCAGGTGACATAATGTCGTTGCAGCGTCAGATACAGAAGTTAAAGGTAAGATTTCTGTACTAAAAAAAGTCTTCAGCTCACATTATGGTAATTGAACTTCAGTTTATGAGATGTATGTTCAGGATCAGCTGACAATTCTGACTAGTCATCAGAATGTTCCAAGGTCTTTGTATTGTCCCTCCACAAGTCACGAGCAAATGATCTCTGGTGATCTATGTGATGATTCCTTCAGTTTACTAGGAGGCAGTCCGGTTGCTTATAGTGATCCATGTTTCTTAAACAGAGAGGTAACTTCTGTACCTCTTTTTTGCTCTTTGAAAAGTCTCTGACCATATCATTAAACGGCAATTTGTCTACCTAGATTAAACAACTGGAAGCTTCTCTAATCGGTGCCCTTAGGAGAGAAGGAATGGCAGAAGCTGCAGTCAAGAAACTAGAAGCTGAAATTAAGCACATGAGCCGCTTGGTATACCAAGTTTTTGCATGATGTGTGCACTTTTCTTTATAGTTCTTGATGATAACCAAACACGTCTGAAATGAACATACCTTGTTTTCCATTATAGGTATTTAGCTTTAACTATTGCGTGTGGCATATCTTTAGGTTCATCAGAGAGAAGATGATGCTCAGCGTTCTAGAACACTCCTCAAATTCCGTGAGGAAAAACTCCAAAGGTTGGAACTACTTGCAGATGACCTGGTGACTTCAGATGGGTATCTTATGGAGGAAAATTTTGCACTTACCCAGGAGATTCAGATACTAAGAGAAAGAATCGATAGGAATCCTGAATTGACACAATTTGCATTGGAAAATATGAGACTGCTTGAGCAGCTTAGGATGTAAGTTTCACATACTACATGGGCAACAGGGTTTTATATTAATGCATGCCTTTTTAAGTTTTAAGTTGTAATTTCAGTTCAATTTGCAGCAGTGAACCTTTACTTCATTTCTTCTATTATAACACAGGTACCAGAAATTTTATCAGCAGGGTGAACGTGATACATTGTTAGCTGAGGTCTCATATTTGCGGAATCAGGTGTTATGATCTAGTTATCCTCTTTGTTCTGTCTCCATGTAGGTTTTCTGTGCCATGCCGTTCACTGAACTTATATTTCAAACATGAACAGCTCGTGAAAGTTCTAGAGGGGAACTCATCACTGGTAAATAGGGCTGAAGCACAGGTTAGATTTGTATACTTTAGAATGTAAGTCATTTTGGTTATCTTCTTTATACTTTTCCAGTTGGCTAAAAGCTCTAGGTAATACATAAAAGCGAGCCTAGAGAGGATTAACAAATGGTTTCTTTACATGCCTTAGTAGAGTAGTTTCTCGCAGGAAATAATACCCCATTAATCATATACCAATGAGCTCCTGCAACCATGTTCCTAAACTTCATAAGCTAGAGACTAGAAATAAGGAAAAATATGATATATTGGTTAGAGGCTTTACATTCAACTCCAGTCCATGCATAAAAGCTAACTGAAAGGTCCAAAAACACCATACTACAAAATGAGAAGCATAAGCCCAAGAAAAAAAATCAATGTGCAGAAAAGTATGTCTCCAAGGTTAATGTACATGAGCATGGTTTCTTAGAGACCAGAAATCTTTTGGAAGGAGGGAAGTATAATTGCCTAAAGTGTCCCCAATTTCAGGCATGAGAGAAAGAAATACAGACATACAACTCTTGTCATATTTGTTAATAAGACACTCCTACAATGCATGATGAAAATATATTAGTAGGACTTCATTGCAAATTCAGTCCTATTCTTCCTAGCAACCTACCAACCATGTCTAACCCCATTTCTTCTGCCTGCTAATAACTATGCATAAATAAGTAATCAAGTATGATCTTCTTTTTCCTCCAATTCTATGGATATTGAATCTTTTCCATGTTATGTGTTTGGTTGCTTCAGGCTGATGGTGATAAAATGAAAGAGTTAGACGAATGCAGGAAGCAATTGGATGCTTGTCTAGCAAATAATGCTGAACTTACTAGGTAAATAGTTATGGTTTATATCCAGCATTCTTTCCGTATAGTTTTTCTATTTTTGCATGTGGACAATGTCTTCTTGCTTGTGGACTTATGTTGTATAAGATTAACTATGTAGGCATAGACTAAATAGGTTATGTTGTTACACTGATAACTTGGTCGCATGATCGCATCATATGCGTTTAAGCTGGTCATGGATTTTGGTTGATGTGGCATAAATGAATATAAATATTTTTCAATATGAAATAATTAATAATGAAATAAGAGTGTTAGATTTCTTTCTGATAACTGATTTTTTACTAGCAAAAAAGATGAGACATGCCTTGTTGATCTTGTAAAAGAGAAGCACATGTAATAGGCGCAAACTAGGGTTCCAATTATTCCACAGATTTCTTGTTCCCATTTTTACCCCTTGTGAGATAATCCAGCTTCATAATGTCATATATCTTGGACAGAGTTACTGGAGCATTAGTGTTATTGTCTTATTTAAAAAATCTACTTTTTCTAAGATTCATAATGCAAGAGTCTTAGAACTATAAGCCCATTATTGAAATTATATCTGATAGAGTTGAAAGAATAGGTAGGTATTAAGACCTATTGAACTTGTTTGATTCCCTGGCTGGTTTTGTTTTTGAAACTGATGCTTACAGGGACGTGCTATGGACATGGATTTTAATTTAACAGTTAATAAAAATATGACGCTTGCAAATGCACTTGAGGAAAAACTATAGTTTTTCATTTTTAAAACTTTTATAATCAATACAGAATATTTCATTCATTTGGAAACAATGAATGCATTCAATGGACCGATGGAGCACATGGGGAGAGGGTCAGATGTTTTCCAGAGAAAATTATCTTTTTTGACATGATGTTCATTTTTCTCAAACCTACTATTCTCTTTATATGGTAGTATAGACAGTAGTAGATTTAAGTTCAGAATATTGTTTTAAAAAATTCATATATTTATTATTATTAATATCCGTCAATTTCTCATTATATCTTTTAACCTAAATATAATTGATATTTAGTTATGTGGGCTTCATTCTTATTCACAACATTCTAATCTAGACTGATCTAGAACATTTTCATGACATCAGATAATTTATAATGATCTAGAACAAAGGAAGAGAAAATAAGAATAAAGAAAGAAAAAGAAATTCTTTCTTGTGAAATTACCAATATACCCTCTCAATTACAATGGGAAGGATGAAATGTCCTCCATTCCTTAAATTTCTTGATTGACCTCACTTTGGTTTTTTTAATATAGTAACTAGTACTTGGTGCGCCCGTGAATTTCTTGGAAGGATTCAGCATATATTACTCTCAAATATGTATATTTGAAAAAAAAACATTCCACTAGAATTTGAAACATGTAAATGCACGTGATGAAAAATATTTTCACTTTATTTGGAAAGAGAGAGTGCATTTAATCATGGGGAGAAGGAAAGATGTTAAGGGGAAAAAAAAATCTTTTTTGAAGTTGATGTCCTCTTTTCTCCAATAATTTTCTCATCCTTACTATTTTCTTATATGGCATTATAGATTTAAGTATACAATTGTTTTTTAAATTTAAATGTATTTATTATTAGTAAAAAATCATAATTTCTTTTTTATGTTTCTATATCCTAAATATGATAGTTGTATGGGCTCTCTATTCTTTTGTTCATGACAAAGAATAATTTAAAATGTTCTAGAATGTGTAAAGAAAAATGAAGAGAATAGGGAAAAAATATTTTCCTAGAAAATTATGATTTTATCCTCTCAACTACAATGGGAAGGATGAAATGTCCTACAATCTTTCAACTTTTTTATTACCCCCACTTGGTTTTTTTCTATATTAATATAGATGTTGATATGGATGGGATAGTTAAACAGTAATACTCTTATTTTCTTCTAAACTAACTTGAATCATTTTCAATTATGATGTGCAATTAAATAACATATTCTGCTACTTTGAGTATAAACATACTGCATATATTTGTAATTATTGCAGGTAAACATACTTATTAAGACAATATTATATATGCACACTAAATGAACACATACATGCATGTATGCCTGCAAGATCAAGCGTGCACACACCCACACACACACACACATTTAAATTTTAAAGTAGTTTAGTAACTTCTTAAGCACAGTTTTGCAAGCATGCAGTCACACACATGCGCGCAAAGTTCTAACTAAGTGTATTATCAGCTTAAATGCATCTGCTATTTTCTGATTTATAACTCTTAACCTCCATTACCTTCAAGGAAATAGACAAAAGATACAATTATTGCTTCTATTATTAACATAAAAAAATTATATTACCTACTTAATTCCTAATATCGTGTGGCTGAATAACTTACCAAGCAGTAATCTAATTACCGTAATTGGCATTCATCAGGGAAGTTGATGATCTGCGCCACCAACTCAAGCATTATTCTGACTGTGGACAAAGCGCAGTTCTTCTGGTAAGACTTGCTCCCATTATTATTAGAAGACGATTATTTTACAAGATGTTTCCTATAACTGTCAGGCTGACCGCGCATTAAGGGAGCATTGTAGGTCTGAAACAGAAAAAAAACATCATCTGCAATTAAAAATTTGTTATAGTAATTGCAAGTATAGTTTTGAAGATAATTGCTGACTATCCCTTAACATCATCCAACAAGATCTTAATTTGAAAGTATAAATGTATAATGAAGTTCTACTTCAACAGGTAGAGCCAATGGCGGTTGAAGGGAATTCAGGAGATAGAAATGCATTTTCTGAGCATGGTACTGTTCCACAGATGGATAGTAGCCAGCGGATAGGAGATGCTACATTGCAGTTTGTCGAAGTTCAACAGGAGTTGAGGAACGCTAAGAGCATAATTGAAGAAATGGAATCACAACAAACCCGCTTACTTGCAGAACTAGATCACATTAAGCAAGAGAACAAGAGATATTTGGAACTCTCAAGAAGCACAAACATGCAAACACACTATACAGAACAGCTAGAAAATTATGGTCGACTATCAGCAGGATCGAACGGTGCAGCCAAAGTAAATCTTGATGGAAGACAGATGATTGAGCGTGGAGGCAGTACACAATTAAGTTTTCATGCAACCCTGAAAAGAATGCTTAAAGAACTTGACCAGGCTAAACTCTTGAATAAGCAGCTCTCAGATGATCATGCATCACAATCAGCATATCATCAGGAGATGGAAGATGCTCAGGAGCAGGTTGAGGCAGAGACTGCTAAAACAGTTCTTTATTTACAAGAAGAACTTGACACACTTAAGAAAGAATTTGATTCAAAAAATGCATACCACTTATCACTAACAGAGTATTCTACGTTTTTGACAACCAGAAATGAAGAAATTAACAGCAGATTGTCCTCTCTGATCCAAGAAAATATTGAACTGTCAAATCTTGTTTCTTTGAGAGATGCTGAAATTAGTGCACTGTCTTATGAGTGGGAGAAGGCAATAATTGATCTGACAACATTTCTTGTTGATGGCTGCAGATCACTAGATGATGCATCCGAGTGCATTGAAAATGTTGTTGAATCATTTCCCTTGAAAAGCACATGTATTAATGAACATGTGGAGAGGGCTATAAAGGTCTTTATTGAGAAAGAAACTTTAATTCTAGATCTTCAAAGAGGACTGGAAGATGCACAAAAGAAGGGGCTAGAGGTGAAGTCAAAGTTAAACTCCTTGAGGGGAGCAACACTAGCTATAACTGAAGTTCAGCAGTTGGAGAATGATGAGAACACTAAGGAGCTAGCTCATTTACAGAAAATGTTGAATGAAAAATCATGGACAATACAAGAATTAAAAAACACTCTGAAGCAAAAGGAGGATCATATTATAAAAACAAGGAAGGTTGCCATGTCAGCAATTGCAGCAATTAAGAAGTTGAACGATATGCATTCTGCAGACTCTTTGAATATTGGGGAAATTGAATGGATAATCCATGAACTTGTAAATGAAAATCCTCAGGTGATGGACACGCAGATGATCATGAATGATGCTCCAGAAAGATCTGAAGTTGGGCACTTTTTTATGGATGACCAGATCAAACAGCTGAAAGATCAGATTACTGCATTAGAAATGTGTCGGACTCCGAGAAGCTTGGAGGAAAGGATGTCGGCGTCTGACGTAGACTGCTCACAGACAAGCGAGGTAAAATATTTTACATCTCATGTTTTCATAAAAAGCTAAAAACTCATGAAATAGTGTTCTATATCAAGGAACACAGATTGTTTTCTGTTATTTTCTGTTTGAATGTTTCACATTTATGTTGAGCTGACCCATGAGGTACTCGAAGTCCCACTAATTTATCCTGAAGCTGACTATTCTCTCTAAGTAATGACTGCATAGATAGTAAGAAATGTGAATTAGAGGGTTAACAACCCGTAAGTCAATTCAATTATATAGAGAGAAGGCAATTAGAGGATCAAAAGGGTGATGCTTACTGGTTCAGTGTTGTTGATGTTGAATAACCACTTTTGCCCAAAGTTTAAGCTAGCAGTTGTAGGCCATGGGTCAACATTATATAATTATTAAGCAATTTCAATGTTTGTACAATAAGGTTGATTTTTGCAGTCTTTTATTTTTGTTGCTTCAACAGATACTACATCTTGAATTCAACCATGCAATGCAAGTGGTGGATGAGAGAACACAACATGCAAATGATTTGTTTGTAAAGTTTGAGAAAGTTCAAGAAACTATGTTGGAGGCCGAACTTGTACTCCAGGCCTTGCTAAAAGCAAATGAAAGTGCAAAACAGGAGAAGGATTTGTGGAAGGAAGTGAGTGCAGGATTGATGACGGATAAAACTGCATTACTTGAAGAAGTCCGAAGACTTGAAACCTCCAATTATTCTAAAGAAAAACAGTATGAAAACCTACAAGTTCAGATTCATGCAAGTGTAACCGAAACATTAGACATAATATCCTCTCTTGGAGGATCTTTTCAGAAAATACAGAGGATCACTACGGAAGAACTGAATGATATCTGCTCTGGTATATTTTCCTTTCTCCAGGAATTCCTAAAAATAATTGGGAATTCGAGATTATGTCTTGAAGACATCATTTCAGAGGTAATGGAAAAAGGTTTTGAATTGTTTGTCCTGTATCAATGTCATATTGGAGCCTTATTTGAGCAAATTATGCATTCAGATAACTATTCAGATTTGTTCCAGCACAAACACCACAACTCTTGTTTGGTGACCAAGAGCAACAATGTCTTAGATGGAAACATTATATCAGATAGGTCGAAGGATCAGCAGCAACTAAGTGAATCTCGAACTTTTGGTTTCTCTAGCTTGGGAGAAGAGAGGGAGGTTCTGAATGCATCACAGCTTTCTCAGTACCCCGTTGATGTTCCTGATTTTGGTGCAAGAATTAGCAACTACTTAAGGAATGACCTTCCATCAGATCAAAATTGTTCGGATAACATTTTGCAACTAGAGGGAGAGATTGATCAGGGTGATCAAGAATCAAATAACCTATCACTGAAAAAAGAATTGAAGCGGAAAGATGAGCTTATAAAAGGTCTCCTGTTTGATCTTAGGTTGTTGCAGGAGTCAAGCTCCAACATTAAGAGTATGAAAGATGAACTCGAAGAGATCACAGTTGATTATAAAAAGGTTTGCTTAGAACTTGCAACCAAAACTGCTCAAATAGATAAAATCCTAGCGGAGAAGCAAGTGCTAGAAGCTTGTCTTGTTGGAAATGAATCTGAATTGTTCAGTTCAAGATCAGAATTGAAGCAGATGGGAGAGGAAAACACTAAACTAAAACTCCTGCTGGAAGATGCATGCTTTAAGAAGTCCCAAACTGAGGAGCTGTTGGAAGAAAAAATGAAGGTCATTGAAGGCTTACAATCAGAAATTCTCTCTTTTAACTCTTCCATTGATGGATGCTTTGTCTCTTCGGCTGATGAACTCATGAATAAATTGGAAACGGTTAGTAATCAGAGGGATCATCTCCAAAAAGAGATTGTCTACTTAACTGACAGGCTTGAGATGGTAAGCGCTTTAGCTGATGAAAATGAAGCTATTGCTGTTGAAGCTCGTCAGGTACATATTTGTGATTTGCGACTATTTTCTTACTGTTAACCACGAGCCTTCCATATTTTTTCCTGCTATAGGCTGAAGCTGGATTTATTCCATACTTTTGCCTGCTATAGGCTGAAGCTGGTTTTATTTTCTCAGGTTGCAGAGGCAAGCAAAATCTATGCAGAGGATAAGGAAGAAGAGGTTAAGGTTCTTGAACGTTCTGTTGAGGAGCTTGAGGATACCATAGACATATTGGAAAAGAAGGTAAGTGTGCATTTCATGGCTTTGCAATCCTTTTTAAATCTTGAGCAGTTTCGGTGAATATCTGATCTTTGGTTTACCTTAAGAAACTTGTTTAAAATTAGAATTTTCTTTAATCTGTTTATAAATAAGATATTTTCTTTGCCAGGTGTATGACATGAAAGAGGAGGTAGAGAGGCACCAGTCTGTAAGAAACTCTTTAGAACTAGAAGTTCAAGTTCTTGCAGCGCGGATGTTAACAGTAGAAAATGCTGAGGAAAATTTGATTGTGGAATATTCAAATATTGAAGGAGAAAGTGGCCAAATACCAAGGTCAGACAGCTTGATGAATGTTTAAGTTAGTAAACTATACAATATCAACAACCCATAAATATTTATGATTTTAAAGAATCTTGAATGCAGGCGACTAGATGACAGAATAATTGAACTTTGCGAAGCAAGACAGCGTATAGAAGACCTAGAAATGGAGAAATCATATATAGCAGAAGAGGTTTGCCCAAACCTTCCTCGGTCTTTTATCTGCCGTTGGGTTTTTCTCATTCATTTCACTATGTCTGTTTTCCTTTCACTAATTTATAACTATGCTGTATGTTAAGATCAAGCAATACCGAGAGCATATATCAGAGCTGGCGCTTCACTCTGAAGCTCAATCATCATTATACCTCGAAAAGGTATGGGGTAATTACTAAAGTCAACATGAGATTTACGTTAATTCTAGAATGTTAACTACCATATCTTCTGTGCATTACTGAACAGTTTAAAGCATTGGAAGCTATGGTCACCGAAGTGAGACCTGATCGAGCAAAGTCCAATCCTTTTGTTCACATCAGTGACAAAACAGAGAGAACATCAGGACGGACGAGAGGTTCTGGGTCTCCATTCAGATGCATATCAAGTTTGGTTCAACAGATGAACTTAGAGAAAGATCAGGAGCTATCTGTGGCAAGACATCGGATAGAAAATTTGGAAGCATTGAATGCAAATAAGCAGAAAGAGGTAACCAATGCCACCCAAAATGCTGTCATTTCTAGATTACGTTTTAAATGTTTTAAGAAATGTATGAATCATTTATCATCCTCAGTATCTATTCTGGATCTCATTTCATTGTTAAATCCCATGATAAAAGCTTAGCAGTTAATATTATCTTGACAAGCTTGAATTGTGCCAATTAATCAATTGACTGGTTATGTTTCCTTTTATATGTTCTAATAAGGTCAAGAAGAAAGGATAATCCATGAGTTGAGATAGTTTTCAATTTGAGCATTGGGACACGCTATAATTACAGTTCTATGTTTAGCTACTCTATCCAAGTGAAGCAAATACACGTTTTGAAATGTAAAATTTTGTGGAGAGAAGAAGTTTGTAAAGACTGTTACAAACTCCATTAGGAGATAAACCATAAATATATATGGGTAATCTGCATACCATAGGCGTAATACCTGCCAATACAACCAACGTCCGCTTATAATATAAATACATATTAATTCATTAACATGATAAATAATCATACAGTTAACATCACGAAGCCACAAAGGTTTGCTAATACTTTGATTTGTCGGTCCAATTTGCAGAATGGCAATTCTTTCTTCTCCTCGCTTTTCTTGTTAAGGAAATTATATCTGGAATCATGATTTTGCTTGTGAAGTCATAAAGCTTGTCTCACAATTTTTCTATATTTTAATGTCATGTAGCAATTAATTCATTGTCACGCTTATTTCACTCTTTTGGCTAGTGTTTGACTTTGATATCATGTTTATGTCTCCATGTGATGAATTTACATAACTGTTGTAAATTGAAGAACCCTGTAAAGTTTATCCCGTGTAGGATTATTTACATCTTTGTTACATGCTCCTCGCAGTTAAGATATCTCATACTCAACAGATCGAACATTCCATATGTGTGATTCGAGATGTACCCATGGATTCTGGAGATGTCTCTCAAGGATTCGAGAGGAGGTCTCCACTATATTCTGAGAGATGTAGCACTTTGTTTCTTATAGCACTTAGCTCCATGTGGAACTTAGATCAACATGTTTTGGCTAGGGTCTAAGTATTTGTCACACTTAAAGTGAAAAATTCCTGGGAGATCAGTTATCTTGAAACTGCTCTCTGAGCATGGCTACCTATATTTTTAGGTGGTTCCTTGCTCAGAAATATTAGCTATGACTTGAGTTTGTTGGAATTATCATGTGAAGAAGCTTCGAATATTTATCCAATGTAGGATTATTTACATCTTACCAAATCCTGCAAATGTTACTTTCGGTATTAGTATTCACTCCATATGCCAAATTGCAACGTTTTGATGGTGGTGGCTGTGGAGATAATGGTGGTCAGGTGACATCTCTGGAGCAGGTCTGCAGTGATGGGTGTAGGGTTAGGGTTTGGTTGGCTGCTAGAGGAAGGAGAAAGGGTTAGGGTAGATGGAGGGCTATGATTAGCGTTAGGTAAATGGATGGAGGGCTAGGGTTAGACATAAGTATGAATGGCTAGGATTAGAAAAGAAGTATGATAAGAGAAAGATAAGAGATGATTTTATCTTCTCTATTCAATTGTATTTATAATGGGAAAGTCTTTACATAATTGTTCCATAACCAATGTGGGACTAAATATTAATTAACTCTCTTTCTCTCAACTGGGACTAAATACTAATTAACCCTCTTTCTCTCAATACAAAGTAATGACATGTTTCATTTATTTCTCATTGTGGCCTCAGGTTTGCGTGCTGACTGCAAAACTAGCAGCTGCAGAGAGCATGACACATGATGTTCTCAGAGATCTATTGGGTCTCAAATTGGATATGACCAACTACGCTGTAAGTTAAAGAAAATCATTGTAAAAATACATTGTTCTACATAGAAAAAGAGTCCGAAAAACAAAGATCCTCCTAATCTCCATTTGATATGTTTTTTTCTGATTGTAGAACTTAATTGACCAAGAAGAAGTGCAAACCTTATTACGAAAGGCTCAGCAACAATCTGAAGAGTCCATTGCCAAGGTAAACCTAAATTTTGGGCTCTGTGCTTCCCTATATAGAACCTGAACTGTTGAAAACATTGTGTGAAATTAGGAAAAGGAAATTCTGAATCTCAAGAAACATATCGAACTTCTTATGGAGGAAAGGGAAAGGTAAATTTACTTCAATGTACACTGCTCTATATAAGTCTTGTTGTTTGTTGCTTTGCGAAATTTTTGATGTTATAATTTGCAAGAATAATTTGGAGCAGTAGCGATAAGAAAAAGAGAGTGACCTCAACAGCATATTGTTACTTGCCAGATTAATCTGATCTGCAAAGAAAAAAGATTCATGTCAATTCTTTTTAGAAAAGAAATCCTTTTCGTAGATTTGCAAGCAAGATTTCTGCTAGGTTATTGAACCAGGTCAACAGCTTTTCAGGTAGATAAGAAAAATGGTTGCAAAATGGTAATTCTTGGAAGAGGCCTTGCCTATATTAAATATGTATTAGATACATGGTTACTTGGTGGATAACCGTAAGATGCTTCTGAATTCCTAAAAGGATAATTTTATTAAAAAAAAATTAAAATTTTTATTAGCAAAATCAACTTTTTTTACATTTAATTAGCAAAATCGATCTATTTTTGGCCACTTCATCACGTCTGGCCAAAAGAGGTCGATTTTGGAAAATAGTTTTTAAAATACATGGGACTACTAGTCCTGTGTATCTAGCGGTCACTAATCACAGTATTGTCAGTCCCGTGTATACTTGAAGATCTAATTAACCCTTGATTAATAGCCGCTAAATACACGGGACTAGTAGTTCCTTGTATTTAAAAACTCTATTTTGCAAAATCGACCTCCTTTCGGCCAGCCTCGTTAATGTGGCCAAAAAGAGATTGATTTTGCTAATTAAATGAAAAAGGGTTGACTTTGCTAATAAAATTAAAAACAAGGGTCTTAAAAAAATCTCCTTCCTAAAGGTTACAATGTAGGTAATTAGAATGAATACCAGACATATCAATGATACAGAAAACGGTTTGATGCACAAATTTTGACATATCAATGATACAGAAAACGGCTTGATGCACAAATTTTGGCTTTAACAACTCAATTGATTCACCCATTTCTAAATAATATTATCTGTTCAATTTTTCATTTTCAAATAAATCTGTCAAATAAAATGAGAACTTCTGATAACCGTTGACTTCCGCTAATCCAGAACTTAGAGGTTATAGTTACAATGGAAATTGTTGGATCCTTGCATGATATGAAGAGTCTTTTTATATATATAAATGAGTGGATAGAAATTTTGGTGGACAAATGCTTGGTGTCCACTTAAGTTGACATAAGATCAACTATATATAGATATTAATGAGTATCCTCGATAAAGAGGAGATTTTCCTCCTTGACAATGACGTGACACAATCCCCACCATGTGAAGGAGAGAGAATTGTCTTAGTGCAATATAAAGGCACGCGGAGTAAGAAAAATACAGCATAAAGAAATGAGAAAAGGGGTCACTGCAGCAACATACTTTAAGTTATCGAAAATACAGCATAAAGAAATGAGAAAAGGGGTCACTGCTGCAACATACTTTAAGTTATCTAACAAGATCGATCAAATTTTTTCAGGGTATACTGCTTGTGTGCAGTTCATGTACTAATCCTTAGAAATATACAATGCATATTACATAGACAAATGTGCAGGAAAAAAAATGTACACTGTAAAAATAATTTGTAATTGGCCTTTGGTCTGTAGTTGGATTGAAGAGATAAATCAAAGGAAAGCAGATATATTTGCAAGCCAAGTCATGGTGGAACGACTTCAACAAAGAGAGCAATTGCTCACAGCACAAAACGAGATGTCGAAGGTTATAATCTCTGCTCTCCTTACACATAGCCAGCATGATTAGTTTAATTTATGATGCTAAAACTATTACTTGCAGGTGGATAAAGCCAATTTGAATCAAAAGATTGCAGAACTGGATAAGAAACTGAAATTTTTGACTAGATCGCAGAACATCAATACCTATGTAGAGCAACCTGTAAAGAATAAGGTATTTATCTGATCTAGCTTTTGTGTAAAAGTACAACCTTCTTTTTTTTCAGTTTCCAATTTCTAAATATTGCTACAGGGAAATAGTTCTTCAAGAGCCGGTAGTGAAGAGCTCAGCAGAAGACTTTCTCAGTCTGACATGCTTCTTTCTCATATGCGAACATCTATGAGGAACAAGAGTACCCAGTAAAGACTCAGGGAAAATTCACGGATACAGCATTAATAGGTAATTAATCTGTATGTTTTTTAAAAAGGTTCTTGATAGTTGCTAACTGCAGCTACCAATTTGTATAAAAGTGAACGTATTTAAGCTGTTGATAATGTATCACCCATTATGCCACAAAATGATAGAATATGTTCAAGCACATACCACCTGAAAATCATCACCATGAGATGTATTTTCATTTCTCCTATACTTACTGCTGACAGATTCATTCATAAATTTCAGCAATGTTATTCTGACCTCTCAGACTTCCTACGCATGTTTCAAAGAAACCCTGTCACAAAGGTAAAACGGGTTGCAAAGGAAAACTAGTCTTTGTTGTGGTATCACATGTTCAAATATGTAGTCAAAATAATTTGAAGATTGGTATTATATTGGGGTACATTCTAAGTTCAAGTTTCACACGGCCTTTTGTTCGTTGGATTTCTTTGGTCTAGTCCAAAATTGTCTATCTTTTTCTGTTTTCTTTTGATTTCCCTTTTGTCTTTCATGTTGGCTATTGACTAAGTTGGTCTGGGTAAACTTGTGCTGTTTATTAGAATGAAACGTCTGAGTTCAAATACCATTGCGGTTGTGATTTTATTTATTAGGTTGGTAATACCAAATAAATAGACCAAGGTCTTGATAGAATGCAAATCTAATTAAAAAAAAAATCCTTTATAAGCAATGTATTTAGAACTTATATTCTCATCGGGAATGTCAGAGAATGCCCTATTTTGATGCGAGTATCCTGATAAAATTAGTACTGTCTTGATAGAGAAAAGTGAAGTGTTTAGAACTTATATTCATACCATGAATGTTGTAGAACACCCTATTTTATGAAAGTGTCCTGATAAAATTTGTACTGTCTTGATTGAGAAAACTTACTTAAGGCAATCTAAAGATTCTGAAAAATCAAGTGGGGTTTGAGTTTTGGTGCTTATGTCAGATCTAAATTAAATATACCTAATTCAACTGCGCCTTTGCAAAGTAGAATGGAGACTGAATGATTGATTGCCATCATCTTGTTTTAACTGAAGGGATGAGATCACCACCTTTAGTTTTATTTATAACAGCATTCATAAATTTTTTTATTTAATAGGTGATTGCATTTACTATTGTGATCATTTAATTCTTATAAAGAAGATAAGAGTACTCGTTTTTTCAATGCTTATTTGAGTAGCTAAGATGGCGTATCCTGATTTTCGTTTGATACTATTAATCTGAAAATAAACTTTAAATGACTCATATGAATTGTATTATATCTTCACTATTAGTTTAAAACTAGTACTATATAGAAGAAAACATTTACTGCTGTCTAGGATTTTCTTAGAATGGCCAAGGAAGTTCGATTAAGTTCCTCTTTAAGGATACTCATAAAAAATTGTATCGTACATCATTAAAGGAAACTATTCGATGAATAAAGAAACTCGGACTCCGCTCAAGTCACGGTGCAACCGTGCAATGAAAGACTGAAGAAAACCAGCGGACAAGACTTGATACTAAGAAACATTTCATAAAATAGACAAACCAATAATAATGATGTATACGATCAATGAAAATTATATAAGAGATGAATACCTGAGTATCTCTATATTAGCAGGATATACGTAAGGAAGTGAAAATATACCAAGATACATTCTATAGAGTGGTGTTAGGGACACACCCTTAAACCACACTCCCAACCACATCCCTCTCTCTCAATAGTGTTTTTTAGATTTTTTTTTAATGAAACATGTGGGTCCCAAGAAGCACTAGAGAGAGAGAGGGATGTGGTTGGGAGTGTGGTTTAAGGATGTGCCTCTAACATTTCTACATTCTCTATAACACATCATCCGCAAACTTAGAAGTACAACGCAAGTACGAGTGAACTTCTAACATTGATATGTTTACACTTTTAATTTTTTTAAGAAAAAGTTTACACCTAGCGAGAGATCAACAGTTTACTCAGAACGGAGAAAGGATGAACACTTTTAGCGGAGCGGTAGCTACTTGATGCTGGAAGAAGACTTTGCATGGAACTTTTCATAAAATAGAGAAACTGATACGTACGCTGTACATGATCCCTGGAAAGTACATAAAGAGGTGAATACCTGAGCATCACTGTATTAGAAGGATATATCTACGCAAGTGAAAATATACCAAGGTACATTCTATAATACATCATGGGCAAACTTAGAAGTCCCACACAAATATAAATTACAAAAGAATCTCCATCATTGATATGTTTATAAATTAAAAACCAACATACAAAAACAAAACAAATGAAACTTCTACATCTAGGGAGAGGAGAGGTCAACATTAAACTTAGAATACAGTGAAGGGAAGAGTACTTTAGCTCGCTGCGCGTAGCATAAAGGCAGCGCCATCCTGAGTATCCTTTGCCAAGGCAGCTCTCTAAATGGAAGACAGAAGGCACTGAAAATATACTCCTGCAACTCACATGCCCGACAATGGTTTATGGAATGGGGGTAAATGAGTGTAGGTTGGTCAATTTGGGATTTCAACAGCAAATGGATTAGCATTCATTGAAAAAATAAGAACAGAAAAAGGAAGAATAAAAAAGAAAAAGAAAAAGAAAACATATGCGACCCTATTTTTAGCACCACTATAGTCATCACAAACCAACCCTTGACCTTGTATTAGTAAATACTTTCTCATAGAATCTCCAATAATCAAGGCTAGAAACTAAGAAAATTTCATAGCTCTAAATTTCAACAATCATTTGGCATGCTATAAAAAGAAACAAATGTAAAAATGGACGCATTTTGTCTTTGCCGGATGGCGTCCTTGGCAACAGGAGGTAAATGTTAGATGGAAAGTGGGCAAATTTTGGAAAGTGACTGAAAGCATATGGAAACCGGACCATGTGATATCATCCTTTTAAACCCTTCACCCATTCAAAATATTTCAGAACATGGATGGAAAGTGAATTGGTAGGCGAGAAATTAACATCACATTGTCTATCCCACCCTTTCAAAACCTGTGGTTTTCATTTTTTGGTTTCTCATCACCATTGTTCCCATCAAATTCTCTTCGATTCCACACAAACTCTTCTCCCATCCAATTTCTAGCCTTCCTCCCCTTAATTTTCTATTATTTCAAGACATGCTCATCCGAAGCAGAGACCCCCCCTCAAACCCAAAATCAAAAACCAAAAAAAAAAGAAAGAAGAGAAAGAAGAAGAAACCTCCGCCTTAACCAATTCATCTTCCGATCAACAAAATTCTTCCCATGTCTCTTCAATGCACTTCTCTTCCAATTTTCTCATGCTAACCTTTCCAAAATTATATCACCGACCTCCCAGCAAAATATATGTAAAGAGTCTTTTCAAAAATTACAAATCTCATAGCTAAACTGACATGTAGATTGTCATTAAACATAACATGAGATCTCATAGTCTTGATTTATTAGGATTGACATTTAGGGATTTTCATAGTTCCTTCATGCTATGTATAATTGAGAATAGATTTTATATTCTATGAAAATAATTTTTATTGGGTCAGTCATTGTCTAGTTGATCAAAATTTGAGCTTTTAAAATTTGATTATTTGCTAATTTGTTTCTTTTTTGTCTAATTTAGACAAGCAGATAACTGTGATGCTTAACTTTTTCGAGGGATTACAATGTCTAACTAATAACATATAGGACATATGAAGATACATGCACGCATGCAAACATACATATATGCGTTCAAAACATTAATCTTTACTTCTAAATTCTAAGAGAACGTATGAATTTATTTGATTCTAAAATTAATCTTATGTGTAAAGAGAATCAATGATTAATTAATCTTTATATATTTATGTTGTTAGATATCATACTAGTAAGCATGTACTCTAAACTTGATTATTTTTAAATTAAATCTCATGTACAGCTATTTTAACTCAATTTCAAAATTTTAATGCAAGAAGATAAAGATTGTCTGATATGGTTGGACATGTCATTGTTGCATATGCATCAGTTAGTACTATTATGGTCTGTTTTGTTATGTTTGTAGATAGCTATAAAGAAGAGATTTATAATACACCTTCTATGTACAAGGAGCTAATTAGAGGAGCCGATATGTATATAAGCTACTCAAGAATGAAAGCGAATGATAGAAATCATGAGAGACAATACTACCAGAGATAACTATATATAGAAATCATGAGAGACAATACTACCAGAGATAACTATATATGTGTCTGTAAGGACAACTTGATATATTTTTCTCATATTGCGGGTCACACACAAAATATCGAGTTATTGTAATAGAATTTATTTATTTTAGGAAACAGTAAGTATTTTAGTCTAGTACCAGTTATCATTTATAACATTTATAAGAATCATAACATGTTCATCAGAAAACCTCAAACGATAGAAGATATATAGTATTTAGTGAAAGTTGTTTCTTCAGATACATATTACCCAATTTGTCTCATTAACATGACGCAAATGTTAGAAATGACAAATAACACTTGATTAAAATATCCACTCACTGTTTCTCCCGTATGAACATTTTTTTTTCTTTCCAATAACTCAATTTCATGATGTAACCAGTAATATGTAGGAACATATCAAGTTGTTCTTCAAAAGACTATCAAGTATGCTTTAATAGCCTCGCTCGTAACTTTTGCCGGTTTTAAAAAAGGTTTCGGTTCTATTCTTAAATAGCTTATGCAAGTAACATCACTACCATAAAAAGTGTAACACATGTGAGCTCCTCTAAGAAGTTTATTCTACATAGTGTATCCATAGAAGATACACTATGAATATCTTCTTTATTGTTAAATACAGACAAAACAAAAATAGGCCACAATAGTACTATTAGATGCATATGCAATAGGGGTGCAAACTGGTCCGGATTTATCCGGACCGACCGCAACCGTATCCGTTTAGAAAGCGGATATGGTAAGGAAAAATTGAAACCGGTCGGATATGGTTTCGGATACGGTTACGGTTTAGATTTTTTATCCGGATATGGTTCGGATACGGTTATCGGGTCGAAATTGCGGATACGGTCCGGATATCCGGATATTTGAAATGGGCTATATATATATAACACTGGTTTATAAATTATAACATATATTGGGTTGGGTCAAACTCAAAATCCACAACCCGACCCGTTTAAAACTAAAAAAAACCTCCCAGACCCCAACCGATTCCCAAACCCTAAGCCCTAAACCCGATCCTCCGCCTCCCCAATTCCCGAAAGTCGAAACCCTAAGCTGGGCTCCGCCTCCTCCGCCGCGTCGGGCTCCGCCTTCTCCGCCGCGTCGGGATCCGCCTCCAAGCTCCGCAACCAGCTCCGCAACCAGCTCCACGTCCTCCTCCGCATCGAGCTCCGCCTCCGAGCTTCGCAACCAGCTCCGCAACCAGCTCCGCGTCCTCTTCCGCATCTAGCTCCGCCTCCGATCTCTGCAACCAGCAACCAGCTCCGCTCCTCCTCCACGTCGAGCTCCGCATCCCTCCGCCGTTCAAAGCCTACAGTAACAGAAGTTACAGAACCCTTCGCCTTCACTCTCAAATTGGTATAATTCAAAACCCTAAGCCCTAATTTTTTTTGTGCCCTAATTTCTAG